TGTAGGCACTTGCCTATGGCAGCATGGCTACACCAGAAGTGTACCAGTCAGCCTCTCATTGCATCACCAACAAAGCAGCTTCGTACCTTGGTCTGAAGGCAAAAAAAAAGAAGAGAGAGAGAACAGAAAATGTAGTGGGACTTTAAGAGAAGGGATACACACTATTTTCCTTTATTTCACTTAATATTTTTATTTTATCTGGAGTATTGTTTTTTTTCCTACAGAGATACAAAAAATAGATCATAATAAAAATATAAATTACCATAACCATGCATATTCTTTGAGAATATAGGCATTTGGCCAAGGAATTTCTGGAATTATACCAAGTGTGTATTTTTAATGTACACACTCTATATTTACCTGCATTGTTACAAGCCTGATGGATAATGGCAATATTGAAAAACAAAGAAGGTGTATTATGTCTATGACTCTGTGAGGTTGGGCTCTGGTCTACAGTTTATAGGAAGATACTTTGAGATTAGATTCCATAGGGCTAAGATGGGTCAGAGAAACTGCTGAGCTAAACACGTTCGAATCACACATTTTATGTGAGCTAGCCAAAATAAAAACAGAGTGGGAAGCAGGAACATATTTTATTAGGTGTAGGGCTCAGGATGTTATTATACTAGGGTTTATTAAACTTGCTGGCCTACTAGGAAAACAATATGCAGAAGGAAGTTCAGGACTACGAACTGGTTAGAAGTTTATTAATGTGACTAGTATGTGTCACTAGAAAGCTCATCATTGTAACAGTGCCAGAGAAAGATTCATCCTCATTTTGACAAGTCTTCTTTCTCTCTATTTTTTTCCTCTGTTCACTCTCCATTCCTACTCTACAGCAATATAACCAAAGTCCGAGTGTGAACATATTCTGGAATTCTCAAAACATAAAACAATATAATGGAAATTGATAATGTACAACCATACAGACAAGAAAATCCACTTCTTTTGCATAGACTTCCATGCTATTTGCTGAACAATCCAATCAATTAAAAGGTTTTCCTGGAATGGGAAATATGTACACCAAAGCAGGAAGAAATAGAAAAAGAAGAAATAGACTATTTTTTTAGTTTGGTTTTACACTTTTCTACAGTGCATTAGGGTATTATTTATATGAAATATTGCAGTTCCGTAGTTATTTGTTCTATTTTTTGTCCAGGCGTTTTGAGCTCCTTACTCACCTTTAGATGGCAATTCTGAGACTGTTTTTATTCTTTTTATGTTAAGTAGGGTAGAGGATTTTGTATGTTTTAAAAAAGTAATATAGACAACTGAAAGCTATTAAAAAAAACCAACCAAAAGTAGAGTAAAGGGTTGGAGCCAAGTGACAGAAGTCATGCAAATTATGGAAAGATAATTTAACCAAATTTACAAATTAATATGCCAATATTTATGGAGATGCTTTTTGACTGGTGGCAGTCCTATCTGATTACTTCATGAAATATCACAGCCCTTTACAATAAGGATTTCATTTAAACTACATATAATTGGGACTAAGTTTAATAAATCATGATTTGAATGCCACAGAAAATATTAAGCATGTGAGCATGCATTGTATCTTCTCCTCTGACCTGGAGTTAAATAATAAAGTGATGGATTTCATCTTTAAAAAAAATCAAACTAGATTGTGTGTTTGATGCTGAGGAAGAATTTTTCCCTATCCATTTTGTCAAAAATAAATTTAGCATTTAATTTTTGACATGCTGTCCTATGCTTTTAAAACTGCATACCATATAGAATCAAAGACACAGTTCTATTCATCCAATTCCAGGCAAAAGCTGGTAAAAACATAACATCCCTATAACAGGCATTGGTTGTGTCCAAGACTTTCCAACCTATCACATGCCACAGCTGTTGCACTTGCCACTATATAAACAATAAGTGTATTATTTGATCCAGTCTGCAAATGTTAGTACTGTGTAGAAGAGGACACCCAACTTTTTGTAGACTGAGGACTGATTTTGGAACAGCATCTTAAAATAGCACCATCAAAAATGTAGTGGGTGAGGCCAGAACAAAAGCTAATTTGGATTTATTTCATCTCAAATCTCAGTAAAATTGCTATAATTACTCTCCAATCATATTTGTAACATTTTTCTTCTTTTATTATGTCAAATGTTATAATTTGCTAATAACTTTTAAAAATCCTTGGGAAGTACACCCAAAGAGGATGCAGACTGCTGAGGGTCTTGGATTATGTTTCTTTGAACATACTGAACACAATACTGGACCATCCACATTTTTATTAAATAAATTCATTGATGTTGTGGCATAACACATTGATATGATGACTTCTTTCAGGCTGCTTTTCAGATTGTAATATACCCCAATTCCTGAGTCTTGATTACGGCAATTAAGTGGAGAAATAGTAAGAAAATCCCTATATGCTTGTTGGAAGTTAAAACCCACCCTTCTCCTAGAAAAATGAAATATCCTAGGAAATATTAAAAAGGCAGAATATTTCCCCTAAAAAGAATAAAGTAGAAACTCAGAGAGGCAGAAACTCATCCCCCCCACCTTTGCTAATGGGCCATTAAAGCCTAGGCAAGAGTATTCTACATAATAAAGGCCTCTACCCATCTCACCACCTGGCCTGGGAAGATTGTATCAGCCAACACTAAGGTGTAGTCCTGTGGTCCAGACAAAGCCTACAAAGTTAGTTAAACCCCCGCCCCTGGGAGTCTGACAGCCAATGGGATACATTTCTTACACAGGAACAGGAAACACTAAGGTGGGGCCCAACAGAGGTTATAAAACTAAGGGTCTCTCAGGTTCTCAGCCTTTTTCCTTCTTTCTTACTTCAGGGCATGTGATCCTGTCCACCATTAAACCATCTTTCCAAGCAGTCACCATGTTTTCAGTGTCTTTCTTCCCCACTTGGAACTGAACCCAGAAGGTTATTTCTTCCAACATGCTAATGCAAGATCAGGGTGAGAGGGAGAGAAAGAAATGGTGAGAGACTAAGAATTTGGCAAGAACCCATTTGAATGGGTTCCTTTCAAGGCTTATTATTTACATGAGAGGTGGGAAAACTTCAGGCTTTCTGGTGATGCAAAAGACTTGACTAAAAACAATTCTGCCCTTTTAATTTTAACATTAGAATGAGGGGGGAAGTGGAGGAGGGACAAGAGTTATGTTGCCACTTTTACTGATCCATGTCCTTATAATCCTTCCTCTGAGAGTATGATAAATCCTCCCTACCTTCCACCTCTCTCCGGCCTATATTATTGCATGTTTAGGATCTGCATATCCATGAGGTATATAACTCCAGGCTGAATGTGCCAAGAAAGATTACGATTATGTCTTCTTTGCATGGCATAAAATGACTTGGCTTCACTCGTCCAAAATGAATTCTCTGCAGTGTCATTGGAGATCTGGCATTTGCTTGAATAATGCAGCAGAGTGAAATCTTTGAATTTCATTACAAGAGAGGCTTGTCTGCCTGTTTGCGTTGCGTGGCTCACTGATTTCCAAAAGGTCTGATTCTGCACCACGTCCTACAAAGCGTCTGGACGGTGCTTTAGGTCAATAAAATCCCATACCACTAGACTAACAAATAGTTTCTTTCCCTGGGTCATCCGAACCGCAAATAAACACAAAGTCACTACCTTATTAAGATGTGAAAAGATGTGAAATCTCAATACCCCATTCAGATGTATAATAACATATTACAGTACAATCCATCTCTTGTGTATTATATTCAGCAAAGCGTCACAGCCAGTGTTGGATGTATATTTTGTGTATATTCGTAGATATTGTACTCTCAAATTGCAAATGGAGACGTGGGTACTCTATTTTTCTTATCTTCATTTTTAAGTGCTTTGGTTTTATTGTATTGTGAACAGTTGCTGGGGTGCATCCACAGTTTCGTTATACTTGTACAATGACAATAAAGTTCTTCAAACAAGGTGGTGAAGCAGTTTTGTTTTGTACCCCCCCCCATCTTTCCTAAAACAATTTTTATGCCTCCCGCTAGGGGGCAGCCTATGCACATCTGAGCAGCAAGGAGTTCAGACATCTTAACCAATCTCTGTTTAACGAGGAATAATTATTTTAAGAGGTTAAAAAAAAAGGAATGTTGGACTTCGAGCTATTGGCAGTTGAAGAAAATATTACATTTTTATTCTTGAATGCAACGCACATTTCTCTAACTTCATATTTTATTTATCTAGGCACAATAATAGTCTATAGGATGATTATATCCTTGTTAATTTAGGATCCGTTATAATTTCAGTAGAGCTGATTAGCTAAAATATTAAAGAGGAAAATATTATTTTTGTCTTCTTATACAAAATTTTTCATTTTCGCGTTACCTGTTCTGGGTCAATCAACCTGAATGTGTAATACTTGCTTAGTGGTTTATGAAACAGAACATTTTTGTATGTAAATGTCGAGGATCCCATCCGTTGAAGCAATAATTAATGCACATAAAGGGAGTACAGTAATAAGAAAAAGTTACAAGAACTTGTATTATATTCTGAAGGAAAAAGACAACTCAGAATACCAATTTTCTAAACCCACGGAAATTGTGAGGAGTATCACAGATTTTTCATGAAGATTTCTTTCCAATAAATAAATGTGACGTGAAATTTAGGATCGTTTAAAATATTGGATCATTTAAATTTAAGAGTACAACTAATACCACTAAAAAGTGGAAAAAATACTTGGAGAATGCGGGCATCGATCCCGCTACCTCTCGCATGCTAAGCGAGCGCTCTACCATTTGAGCTAATCCCCCTTCCTTAATTTTGCTTTTTTTTCGTAGGCAATATATAGCAATACTGAAGAACTTATCCAAACTCTTGCTAATGCCGTCTTCTCGACCCGTTCCCGAATTCAGTGAATTGTCCCAAATTTCGTTTCCTCAACTATAAAAGCAAGCAAAGGAGGGAAGAAGCCTCGTCGGAAAGCGGGATGGGGGAAACTACACTTCCCATGACTCTTCAAACAGCGCATGCGTGGCGCGGTCTTGCCAAGCGCGCCTCCGGGAGGAGAAACTCGAAGCGCTGCGGACGGCGGCGGGTTGCTCCTGAACTAGGCTCGCTTTGCATTGGGCGAGGCGGCGGCAGTTGGCGCCGTTGATTGCTCTCCTTCTCGCTCCTGGCGACCTCGGCGGAGGATGGAAGAGCGGGGAAGAGGAGGAGGAGGAGGAAAGCACGGCAGCCGGAGCAACGCGGACCCCTCGCTCCATTTGAGGTGAGCCTGAGGAGGGGGAGAGAGCCGGCGCCGGTGGAGGGTCGGTGCGGCGCTGGCGACGACGGCGGCCGCCTCCCGGGAAGAGAGCAGAGGTGGCTGCCTTCCCCGTCGGAGAGGCTCGGGGAGAAGCGTTGGTGCCGCTCCGCGGGGGCTCGGGAGGAAGCTGCCGGAGGAGGGTCGAGGGGCAGCCCCGCAGCTGCGGTCCCCGCCGGGATGGAGGTGCCTGGCCGCGCGCGCGCACGCACGAGGGGAGAGAGAGAGAGAGAGAGAGAGAGAGCGCGAGCGAGCGAGCAAAGCCCAGACGGGATGACCCGTTTCTTGGGTGGCGCGTGTGGAAAGGGAGCGGGGCCGGGCGGGTTGAGGGGACCGGCGGGCGGTAAGGCGGGCGGGCTGCTTTGAGGCGCTAGGAAGAGTTGGAAGGCTCTGTGTTTACGGTGAAAGGGCGTGCGGCTGAGACCCTGGTGTAGGCGGAATTGGGGGCCGTGTCTGTCTAGGAGAGGGCAGGAGGGTTGTGTGTGTGTGTGATTATGTTTGTGTATTCGTGTGTGTGTGTGTGATTAGGTATGTTTGTGTGTGTATTCGTGTGTGTGTGTGTGTTTAGCGGAGGGAGGCTGGAATTCATTTGCTGTGGGTGGCATCTGGGTCGGGGAAGGGGGTGTGCTGTGTGCCAGTGTGTGTGCACGGGGAGCAGCCGCGAGGGTTTGGGAGCCTTTGTGGGATTCTGGGCAGGTCCCGTTTGGTTTGGGCTGGGAAGACGGGAAAGTGGAGAAAGGAAATAAGTAGGAATGGTAGGTAACCCGGTGGAGATGAATATTCATGCCTAGCCTTGGGGACACCGGATGTATGGGAGAGAGAGAGGGAGAGAAACAGAGACTGAGAGGCAGAAAAAGAGAGAGGATGCGGAGGAGAGTTGCATTTCTGATCTCTTCATGAAGCTCAACTTGAGGAACTTGTATGAGTACAATAGTTAAAGTTTGTGCTATGTGTGCACGGCTGCGGGATATCTTTAGAAGAGAGAACTCCTCTTGGAGATGGGAAGTGCTGTACTGGGGTTTGTGTAGGGGAAATCAGTGAGCATCACAACGTGCTGATGTTATTCTGGAAAGAAAACACGATTCTGAGAGTTTCAGGATTTTTCGACTATAAGAGGAAGGGAAGAAGAAAGGGAATGATTTGTGTTCCTTCCAGCGACCCAGGAAATAATTTAATGGCAACACCCACGATCCTGACAAAGTTCACAGAGCCACTTCACAGACTTGTGAACACTGCTGTTCGGCATCTTTTTACAGAGACCATGAATAGCACTAAGTAATCTAAACCCCCTGCAATTATTAGATGGGCTTGGTCCAGGTGTTTGTCTTTGTGCCAATAAAAAAAATAAAGCCCTTCTCAGTATGAACACATCCATTCACACAGTGGAAACTTTAAAACAGCTCATTGTCTGTTCTCATGCTTGTGGGTTTTTTAGTTCTTCCTCTGACTAATAGTAGGCTTTGAGGTTGGTTGAATTACAAATGATTACTTGAACTTGCTATGTAACTGAACTTGCATGATGCAATTACTTTTCTTTTGTAGTAGGAGCAGCAGTATAGAAAAGATAAGCAAAAACAATTGGGCTATCTATTGTATATTTTTAAATACAGAGAGCAATTTACACTCTGTTCTAAAACAATTTCAATTGTATAAATTAATTGATTCAAAACTAAAAATGTGCATATATATATGTATATATGCATATACTTATGTATATTGAGACTAGGTTACATTCTTTTTATTGTGTTTTTGATTTGATTTATGTGTTGCCACATCATGGAAATTTAATAAGCAATGATGAATTTCTGAACTAGGAGTTATGTGAATAAAATACTAAAATATATTAAATAGTATTTAGGGAATGTTTGACATCTTTTCAATGGCTTCTTGGTTTTCTCATCCATTAGTATCAGACTTTTGAGGTACATTGGATTAGAAACCAGATAAGGATCCTGGAATTATAATGTATTGTTGTAAATTACAATAACATATTGTAACCTTGAAAGTCTACAGTTTCTTTCCTTCCCCTACTTAACCAAAGAAAGTGAAGTCACTGTAGGTTTTTTTTTTCATGTCCTCCTCTCTTTCTGCGCCAACTCAGAAAGCTCAAACTGCCCAAGGAGCTGCTGATACAGTTCTACAAAGGAATTATTGAATCTGTCATCTACACCTCTATAACTGTCTGGTTTGGTTCGGCAACCCAACAAGACAGACACAGACTTCAGAGAGTAATTAGGACTGCAGAAAAAACAATTACTACTAACCTGCCTTCCATTGAGGACCTGTATACTGCACGAGTCAAAAAGAGGGCTGTGAAAATATTTACAGACCCCCTCATATCCTGGACATAAACTGTTTCAACTCCTACCCTCAAAAACGACGCTATAGAGCAGGGGTAGTCAACCTTTTTATACCTACCACCCACTCTGTTAGTAGTAAAATTTTCTCTAACGGCCCACCGGTTCCACAGTAATGGTGAGTTATAAAGTAGGGGACAAAACCCCTACCGCCCACCATGAAAGCTGGAACGCCCACTAGTGGGCGGTAGGGACCAGGTTGACTACCACTGCTATAGAGCACTGCACACCAAAACAACTAGACACAAGAACAGTTTTTTCTCGAATGCCATCAATCTGCTAAACAAATAATTTCCTCAGCACTCTCAAACTATTTACTAAGTCTGCATTACTATTATATTAATCCTCCCATCCTTCCTTTCACCCATCTCCTCCCACTTACGACTGTATGACTGTAACCTTGTTACTTGTATCCTAATGATTTTTTATTGACTGTTTCCTTGATTTGATTGCTTATTGTACACTATGACTATTATTAAGTGTACCTTATGATTCTTGACTCTTGACGAATATATTTTCTTTTATGTACACTGAGAACATATACACCAAGACAAATTCCTTGTGTGTCCAATCACACTTGGCCAAGAAAGAATTCTATCTATCTATCAGAACTAAGTCAATGTAACCATCCTTGCATTCCTTCAAGTTATTGCTTCCACAATTAAGAAATGTTGATTCAGGTTAAATTCTGTTGAAGGTGTAGGATAAATCTTATTAGCTACATTTTACCAAATTTACATATTTTTGAGATGATCTTTAGATCAAGAGCCTTTTGCATAATTTTACACACTATTATAGGTGTGCGTCGTGTAGTGTAGTGTAATGATCAACTAGGACTCAGAAACTGGCTTCCTTAGTCATAGCAACTCATTGAATGACTTTGGGCCAGTTATTATAGGCTAATTATTATAATATCACTCTTACTTTGTAGGAATGGCTTGAATACTTTTTCTCAGGGGTGAGATACTACCAGATCACACCTATTCGCTAGAACTGGTTGTTAACATTCTAAGCAGTTAGGAGAACCAGTTGTTAGAAGAAATTACTGGCCTAATCCTGTAAGGAAGGCAGGAAGGAAACATTCTGGTGTTGCTTACAGAAACTGCCTCTCTGTTAACCTTCTTACATTCTTGGCAGGACTAGATTTCCTGTCTCAGGAACGTCTCTGGAGTTTTTTCCCCCTCCTTTGCTGGTACTTTGCTTGTGTGGAGTGACCATTCAAAGTTACAATGGCACTGAAGAAAGTGACTTATGACCATTTTTCACACTTACGAATGTTGCAGCAACCCCACAGTCATGAGAGGCCAGGCGAGGAGAAGCGTGCTTCAATGTGAGTGATATTGAGTTGGCCATGCCAAGCCAATAACATGACCACCAAGCCACGGCCACCCAGTCACATGACCACCAAGCCACGGCCACAGAACCGGTTGTTAAAATTTTTTTGAATCCCTGCTTTTTCTGTACAGTCTCTATCATACTAAAATTATTACATGTACAATAGTCAGGATATAAGGAAAATGATAAGTTCATATGTGAAATAATCCTGGAATTGTTAAACTAGCTATTCATATTTTATAGAAAGATGTAATGTTGTGGCAGTTGAGACTGCAGTGATTCTTAACATCACTAAGTTTGAATTTTTATAAGCAAGAAAACAGACATGATGTAATAACATTCCAACTAGACCACTGGATTTTTCTCTTTTTAGTCAAGCTGCTAAATTTTACATTCTGTATATGCAAAGAAAAGTATAGTCTTGCTTCTGCTTTGATGCTTCAGTATCAAGTAGTTGTGACGGGACATCATTTACTAGGTTACTCTTATGGGTAAATGAGGGCACACAAGTAAAAATTATTATTCACAATAGAGGATTTCAATGCTAGGAAGCAAAGCATGTGAAATAGAATCAATGAAATTCCTTTCTGAATCGTACCTGCTATCTCAATAGCAGAAGTTATTTTATTAGTCGATATTGTATTACTGAATTTATATTACTGGTGAAAATTTTCTTTAATATAACCCCTCCTCACCTTTGCTTCTTACTTCTGGCTTTAACTGTTTTGCCAAAGGAAGAATTTTTAGAAACTCAGACTTTTGCTACTATTGTATTAAAAAAAAAGTGGTTGGCCTAAAAATTGTATTATTTATGCGGATTTTAAATAACCTTTGTGCAAACTTTTTTTATAGTTTTTGAAAAATAGGAGACACTACTTAAGAATACTTTCACATTGACTTTAGTACTGAGTCTAATAATATTAATAGTGATGTTGAAATTATAACCTCTTTGTAGGTTATAATGCATGAAACATGATTTTGTTGTCCCCCCCCCCCAAGAAAAAAAATCAGCTTTCTTTATATTTCAGGACTTAAACCAACTCTTAAGATCTTCCAAAGATGTTATGCAAGTTTCTTTCTCTGTAATTAGACCAAATGAATCTTGTTTCTGTTGCATTACTGGAACACATTCTCTTTATACTATAAATATAAATGATGATTAAATGTTTTCTCACATTTTGAGAAAGCAAACATACAATATTATTATTGTAGCTTTACTGTTGCGTATCTATTAATTTTAGGAGAACTCCTGATAAATATATTTTACAATAACTA